ATATTAAAACTAGCTAAAACTAATGTCTGTTTCTGAAAAAAAAAGTCATATGCTCATTTGACAGTCTTTATGGACTTTATGGACAATTTTAATTGTTTTCTTTTTTTTTCTGAAAGAAAACACAAAGCTAATGACATTCACATCAGTGTTCAATGCACAGATTTGTGTGGCACAAAATTTATGACAAGGGGTTTAATCTATTCCATCCACTTTTTAATCCAAAATCCTTTTGCCTGTAGAGTAGGAAGTTTTAATTAAAAGTTTGATACTCCTTGAAGCTGTCGCTTAGTCAAAACCTTTCTAATGCTTGGTGGAACCATCCAGACAAAATTCAAAGAAGGTTGTATTTAACACATATGTGAAGCTTTCACTGCCTCTGCTTTACTTGCACTTTAACAATAAGAAGCTCCTTTGAGGTCAGGAGGGCCTCTCTGATGATAGGCTTGCTTCTTCAGTTTCAACTTTTCAAAATCTGTGCAGCAGCACATTTGACTTGTATGAAGATCCGTGTAAGTCTGGTACTTTAAAAACAGGAAGATGAGCAAGAAGAGAAATGATCTCAAAATTGTGCCATTGCTAACCTTACTCCAAATGGGTGCGACAGGACAGACAAAAAATACAGTCTCTACCGTACAAAAGACACTGTTGTTACTCATCTTTGCTAAATTTGCTCTTTGCCTCTCGTTTCTCATCGTCACAGCTGCTTATGCTCAGCATGGTGTTGGTGGATCCCACATGCAGCACGGCATAGTAATAACCAGAAATAAGCTACCAGGGGAAAATTATTCAAAACCAGTTTGCAAATGAGGTGGTGAATGTAGAGAGTGACTTGGAGGTGGGGAGTTCACAGTAAAAAGGCCGATTCTTTTTTCCTTGTCAGAGCTGTAAAACATTCAAGTGTCCAAGTTCTGGGGGTGTTGAAGGGACTTTCCGAGTAGCAGAACAGAAATTTCAATCTCCCTTTCCTTCCCCTCCCAGCGACTGCATCCTCACTCTATCACTAATCCCCTAGAGCTCTCATCCCCCAAACATGTCTTGCCTCTTGTAAAGAATGAGAGTTTTGTCCCCCACCCCCACACACCTGGAACCGCACCTCAAGGAACAGCCCAGCGCAGTGCTTCTCCTGACACCTTCTCACCCTTCTCCCCTCCACAGAGGAAAACTAGTCAGTACTTGGGGTTACCCAAACGGTTTGTATTTGACTAATCACATCTCTAGCAACCAGAGAAGTCAGGACTGTGAATTGTTTAATAAGACTAAGAAATAATTATTGGCTAATGGCCCAATATAGCATAAAATAAACGCATTTGCTGCTGCCTTACAAAATATCTTGGTGTCTGTGTATGCTGAGGCAGAACACAGTTGTCAGAGGACTTAGTTTCTTTCCTTCATCTACAGAAAGAGTAATTAGGACCAGCCCTAACCAGGATGGTACACTGACCTCTGTCTCTGCCGAGCATTGTTTCTATGTGCTAAAGAGACACATGGTAAGGTCTCCTAATAATATTCCAGGCAACAGGCTTCAAACTACTTAGTACAGAGGCTTTGTTGTTGAGAAAGTACACACAAAAGACATCTCTATCACAGAAAACCATTGTGCAAATATATAATTTTGGAACTGATATTGTGGAAAGGGTCTCATCCTAGCAGGTAGACATGATGGCCACGTATCCTTTCTGCTTTAATCAAACATTCCTTGTAACAAGAAAATACAGGTGAAACAACCACCCCAGACTGTTTGATTAAAATATTACATTCTAAAATATTACATTCTCATAAAACATACAAGCCCTCTCTTAAATACGCTTACTGTTTTAGACAGTATTTCCATGAGAGAGGTGGACTGGATTACATTTATTTGAAACTGTTCAAGACAAAGGAATAACACAAGCTGATCATGGGGTCTGTTCTAAGTCCAACCTGGACTCCTCAGCCTTTTTAGGAGAGATCCTCATTCTTCCCAGGTGCCAAGGGCAGACCAACTTGTCTGTCAGCACCCTGAGGAAAGGGCTGGATATTGCTGGGCACTGCACTCTCCCAAATGCCGTTGGTTCAGTGAGCCAGGAATAGTCGTTGAGATCTTACTGGGCTGACCTTAAATTGGACCAAATTGTCTTCTTCTAGGGGAAAGCCGAGTTAATCCCTAACTCCCAGAGCATCTGGGGAGCCTATGGAAGGCTGGAAGATGTCACACAGGATTCAGCTGAGCCTGTTTTAGAATTTGCAAGCAGAAAAAATGACCCCTGGCTCACCAGTACCAAACGCAACTATCTTGCTGAATACGCCTCTCCCACTAATAATGCTGGTCTTACTTTTTATCCTCAATGTGGAATCAAGTTTATTTTTGGAAGCTTATTTTACATTTCAATGTGGTTTTAGCAATGCTATATCTAGTTACAATTTAGATATGATATTTTCTTTCATTCTGATTAATCTGTTAAATAAATATGCAAATATATCAAATGCTCTATATAAAAAATACATACACACAACAAACAACCCCTCAATAATAAAATCAAGATTCATAAAAATATGTACTATATTACACATATGAAATGGCCATCTAGTTTTGAAACTATAATGAAACTTAATTACACAAATCACATGGGAAAATCTAAAAAGAATCAGCATATATAAAATAACGGCATTGCCTCTGTAAAGAGAACTTGAGCATCTCCCTATTTAAAAATATAAAAAGAAGCCAAACAGTGTTGTCTGTGCATTTACAGCTACTGAATGTTAGATAAATTAGGAAGGAGTTTGTGGATTTCTCCATTAAACATCTGAATAGGGAGATAAATAATATGCCACAGCCTTTTTATTTTTTTTAAAGAAAAATCTAGCATTCAAGACAATATCTCCTTTTGATTGAGACCTACACTGAATTAGGATGTAAAGAGAGGAATAACTCTTACTCTGGATCTCCATACTTAGTGAAAAGAGTACATGACACCAGTTTAAACACAGCCTCCAACAGATCAATTTGATTTATAATGACAGTAGAAAAGCTTGCTTAAAAACGTAACAGGAATTAAACAAAAATCAGTGCAGAGAGTCAACAGACTTCCCGCTATGCAGTTCTGTATTAAAACACATGAAAGAACTGAGAAGTTTGACAGTGGACCACAAGCACTGAAAGTGTAAATCACCTTGACCCCATTAGCTTCAGCTTGTCTGAACACCTTTGGACCACGAGCTGTGTGACTGTTCACAGATGAAACATGCTGACCTACATAATGTCAGAGAACATCCTATGTGTACTTTCAAGTCACACCTTGTCTTGGGACCTTTTGCCCAGGCGTAAATTGCCCATGAGGAGATCTGCCTGCAGATACGAGGGCACTGCTGGAAGACTGTGACAGAAATATTATCAAAAGTCTTGTGCTTTGTGTTCCAGTAAAGATCAGTGCTAGCTGATGGTAGTATTTAGCCAGATGAATACTCATCCTCCAAATTGCTTCAGATGGAGAGCATAAAATAACACGCTTTAGTGGAACAGTTTCAAAGAAAGGTGCTATGGTCAGTAAACAGGAACACTTGAATAATCCTGCTACAGGACCTTCCCCATCCTACAACTGACACAGACCACTGGTTGCAACTACCTTAGATTGGTTTTACTTGCATTTTTTTTTTTGAGGCAGCCCAATTAGAAGTTGTCATTCTCCCTCTGTTCCAAGATGCTTTTGTAAAAATGGCACAGACCACTGGTAGTAAATAACTTTCTGATAATTCATATCAATATAATGCACAGCATTATAGCTTAATACAAATACTTTACATAACAGACATTTAAGGACAAAACAAAAGGATATAACAATGCAGCTGCAGCTACTTTACTATATTTCATGGCTGAGAGAGTTTCCTTTAATTTTCTTTGATGTTTTCTGCAGAATTTGAATTTCTGATACCGATATGCTAGCAATGTTTCTTTTCGTATTTTTAAAAAGCAGGGGGAAAAATGTGGATGAAATAAAGTTCAGAGGAAGTCAGTGAGATCATAGAAAGGCAACTTTTAAAATATCAGCAAACTGATGTAACATAATAGTTACAGGGGAGACAAGTTCTACTAGGCTCAGTATCTCCTAAGTAAAATGGAGCAGAAAACGATAGAGACCTATTCTTCAGGAGTAAAAGACTGACATCTTCCCTAATGATCTCCAATTGCTTGATTTGTGCATGTGTGACTGTTTTATTCACGATCCTAACTAATAGACTCATTACAAACATGCACAAACTGTGACCAGTGAAGGAGGGAGGGGGAAGAGGAATGAACACCTCAAATACTCAAGCATGACTGTACAGATTGTTAGGATAATAAAGCACAGAAGTTTATTATGTATCAGCTCATATTTTCATCTCTTTATTTCCCCTCCCAAAAATACCTGTTGTATGGTTATAGACATTTCAAAATAGAGATAAATAAATTTTGTCCTTCTGGGTTTCCCTCATTGCAGACCAAGCCATAAATCATTATAAAATTTCACTTTTTGTTTATACTGGCAGGCTCTGAATGCACCTACTGCTCTTCCTGTCTGGAAGGAATTTCTGAAGGTTTCTGATGTTTTAGACATTGCATAGGAGGCCTTTTTGGGTTAAACTTGATTTTTGCGCTTGACTTTTTTCCTTACTTACTCTTGTACCATGGCAAGTTTAGTACCTTAAACGCCTGTAAGACAGAGTGACTGGATACTTGTGAAGACCCTCCATCTGGGCAACAATGACGTCAACTGGAATCCTTCCTAACACCCAGGACACAGAGAGTGTCCTCTGTGTAGGAATTGGGAACTGCAAACTTTGTGCAACTCTTGGGGGCTTATTTCAGAAAGAAAATGTCAATTTTCTAACTCAGACATCATTTCATAGTGATCAAAAAATGAATAACACTTATGTATAATTATGTTCAAAAGACATCAGTAGCACAGTGCATCTGTGAATTCCGGTTCAAGTTCCACGTGGTTTTGATTACCCCCAGCTCTGATCTACTTGGCAACTTGATACCATTACACTCCACTCTTCATGTCAAGCTCCTGATGATTTTCTGTTTCATTAATGGTCAGGAATTCGTCACATGCTCCTCTTTGGTCATTTGACTGTTCTTTATGAACCAAGTGCACCATTTCTTGTGATTTGCTGGCATCTCCATTTAATCCACTTGTCTTCCTGTCCTCCACTGCCCCTTTGCCATTGTTAATCACTAGCTTTTTCTTCTGTCCACATCTAGAAAGAAATAAAAATAAAATAAATACTATTAATGGAGACTAACAGAAATAAGAAAAAAACTGAAAGTCAATATTTAAGAAAAGGTGCTTGGAAATGAAACTTGTGTCTACCAGTGCAGGGGAAATTAAACATGTGTCTGCCAGTGCAGATTTATACAATGCAAAGTATAAAGTTTCTTCATATTGCCTTTTTTTTTTTTTTTTGAAAGCACCCACCATTATATGCATAAAATTTGGCAGGAGCTCCCTTATTCAGTTTGTATCTATGGTTACTACAGATAGGAATAACATTCATCACTGAAAGCTAGAAAATATTTTCTAAGATTTGTATACATCCACATTTATGAACTTTGTATATATCCCACTATAAGGACAGGGTCATTCTAAATCCAGGCTTGGGACCAGACTTTGAAAATGCTCAAGTTCTTGTGATAGCAGAAAATTTGGATCAAGCTCTCACCTCATTATACAAGACAACGTTTTCCTTCTTTGTGTTAGCATGTCAGGCCCAGAAGCCCTCCAACAGCAAGAAAACACAGAGAACTACTCTTGCTACTATCAACAACATAGCTCCTTATGATGTTGCGGTAGGAAATAGCTACTGTGCTTTTAAAGCTCTCAACTGCAGTGCTGCCCAGTAAACTCCATGTGTAGCTCTGAGTGAACACACACCCACAAAAGAAGTCACCAGTCCAAAACTGATGCATTCTGGTCAATGTGGGCTGGGTAGTAAAAAAGTACTAGTCCCACAGCTGTCAGATTTGCCCAAGATTGTTAAAATGGCTCCCTGGCTACATGGTGCCTTGTCCTCACATAGCCCTGTGTAAGCTGAATATACAAAGCACAGCTCTTTTAAGGACAATGTTTCTATGAAGTTGTACTTTAAAGTGCTTTCTTCTTAAATGAAACATATTTTGCCTCAGTGTCTAATTTGGCTGTTCAATTATACTATTATCCTTCCAAAATTTTACTTTTTCATGCTTACTGACAGACAGATGAGGGTTATTTTATCCAAAGTACGTCAGTTCGCTGTGCTAACGGGAATGATTCCTGCTCTGCAGCCATGAAATGCTGAAGGAGGCCAGCAAGGAGGTGTGGAACCTCACAGCCTCTGGAGAGAGCAGCTCAGAGTGTCTTTCCTGACGTGATAGTCAGGCTGGGCAGCATCTCTGCTGGACCCTGGAAGGAGAGCCTAACGCTTTTTACAACAGGCACCAAACAGGCAGTCTTCCTTGCAACAAGAAGAATAACTAACTAACTAACTAAGACCACACTGAACCTTGTCCTTTTTTTTTTTTTTTTGTATGTGTTAAGATAACTTGTGACAACACTGATTAAAAAAACAAAAAAAAAAAAAAGGAAGCACTACAGACAAGCAATTTGCTATTTACTGAGAAGCCCAGTTGCTTGTTTGAAATCTAGAGATGCTGCAGTTAGCATTCATTTAAAAAATGGTGCAACCAACAGCATTAAATAAACAAAAACACAGATCATTCTCACTTTTTAAATATATTAATGCTCGAAACATTCTCAACTTTCTGCTCAGCTAACACTGAAATGCTCAATCTTTCTTTCTCAGCTATCCGGTTTTCTCATAGTACTGCTGCAGTGTTAGTTTTGGATTAGTTGGCATTCGCATGCAGTATGCTGACTGCACAGCAACTACATCTTTATGAATTTTCATCTTATTAGCACTTATCAGAACAGACGAAGAAAGGATTCTTAGCTTATTCTTGGATCCTGCTAAAGTGAAAGAAAAATTCCACTTGTTTCAAGCATACCAGAGTACATCCCCGCTTCAAAAAGTTTTCCTCACAGGGATTCACACACATTACTAGGGTTTTATCCATGCATTTGTACACATACTTGCACCCACATGCACCTTCTCTCTTTTGGGGGACATGGGCCCTCACACCCCACGTCACAGAGCTTTGTGGAGGAAGCTCTCTCCTTTGTTACGCTACTCTGCCCTTGCACAAAGCTTTGAAGCCTCTCGATGGAGTAAATAGCAAGGGAGTGTGTTTTGGAAAAGCAAAAGGGTGACCTTACCTTCTCCGACTGTTAACAGCGACACACACTGCAAGAATCAATGCGAGTGCCACAAGAGCGGCCACTACAATCAGCCATTCTGTGGGGAGAGCGGAGGGGGGGAGGAGAGCATGTTAACATATCTCATGTAGTTTTGCTGTTTCTCAGAACTGCAAGAACGCAAGCTCTTTTGCATTCTTTAAACGATCAGATTTTTTTTCCTACCTTGCATGAGTGTGTGTTTGTTTCACAAAGTGCTTCTGTGCAAATCAAATACATTTTCATCATTCAGCTATACACTGGCCAATGCAGATGAATACCCCATCCCTGTTAGCACTTGTATGCACTGTGCTTTGGTGGGCACAGGTGAAGAGGAGTTTCGTCACTGACTTACTCCAAGAGCAAAAGAAAAGGCTTAGCAAAGATACACCTGCAATCCCAGGCAAAAAAGCAGGATGACTTTCAGGTAGAGTGAAATGCTAATTTTTCATTTAAAATCTCACTTTAAGGGGAATTTTTGGGGCAAACTCTAACCAAAAAAAAAAAAAAAAAAAAAAAAAAAAAAAGGAACTCCAAAACTGGAAGGGAGCCTAAGAGGTTCAGCTACATTCCACTCCAGTGAAACAGGGTCAATAAGAAGATAGCTGCGAAATATTCCATTTGCTCTTAACATTTTTAGTAAATCAGTTTCCACAACCTTACCAGTAGCCTGTTCTTATATGCTGTACTACCATTATAGACAGAGATCCTGTTCTAAGAGCTAACTCCTTTATTTTGTTTGTTTGAAACAAGTCTCCCTTGTTTAACGTGAGACACTTCATTTCAAACAAATTACTTCTTCTAATTAGTTAATTATTATTACTCCATGGTGAAAAACTGATAAGCATTCTCTTTGTAGCATGCTCTTCTCATATCTTCCTTCAGTTTTCTCTGAAAATTATGAGGTTTTCAAAAGGTGCTTCAAATGTTACCTTTCCAAAATTTTCTTCGTGCTCTTCTCTGGTTTTTTATGTGATCAATGCAATGCCTTGAACTGAAAAGAGAGCTTCAGCTCTGGACTTGCTAGGCCTAGATAGAGTGGGATAACTACTTTCTCTGTTTTAATAATGACTTTACTGCTAATATGTCCCGGAATATATTTGCATACTTTTGCGTTAGTATCATGGTGTTGGCTTCTTTCTATTCAATTTTAATCTGCAAGCCCTGTTCTGCAACACTTGCCTCAGCTATTATTTTCACTAAACATTCTCCTGGATATGATACTTCACATATCCCTTTATTGAATTTTGTCTGGTTTCATATCAATTTATAAATGTTATTTGGATCTTAATCCCATTCTGCATGATTTCTCTTAATGTTGATATTGCTGGAAAATTATATGAGTTACAATATGCTCCATTTTGCATACTAGTGAAAATGCTGAATATTATCTGATTCAATTAATAAAGCCTGAACAACTGTACTTGACCTACATTGTCATCTCTTACTTCAGTTCATATTAATACAATTCTGTGCTTAAATTGTTAAAACGTATGACTTCAAAAACCTACCTGGTACCTGGGCTTTCCTTGGTTGTGAAACTATTTTTGTTGTTGTGGTCTCTCCAGGAAAAGTGGTGGATTCATAATTTCCCCTGTGTGGTCCTTGATTACCATATATACTAGAGGTAGATCCTAAAGAAGAAAACTATCCATTAGGCCAAATATGCTTAGTGAATATGTAACAGTGAGGTACAAACATGATGACTTTCACAACTGAAAAAACATATTCTAGAACGTTCATGCTGACGTCATTAAAAAGTACTTATACTGAAAACTATTACATAGACTGTAATCATCATATTCATCTGAAGTATGGCTAGTTTTAGTATTTTGAATAACAAAACTCATGGGATTCCCCTCTTGTCTCTCTCAAGTTTCAGGTTTGAGTGTGCTATACTATCATAAACCAAAATGCAGTTATAATTGCCTAGAAATTTTCTGGAGAAAAAGAAGTAAAGACATGTGAACGTTGGCATCTTTTTGAAGAGGTTTTTGTCATACAACTCAAACGTCTTTTCTGTTCCATGGGGAAAAGAGAGTGAGAAAAGAAGAGAGAGAGTAAATAAAATAACCTTACTTTTTTATTTAAAAGTAAAATGACCAATATGGAGAAATTTTGAAACTTCTAATTTTATTCCTACGGTGGATAAAAATTGAATTTCTAAAACTCTAATGCTTTCATAAAATAGAAGGCAGGTTCTCTGAATGGTTTTAAATTTGATAGCTATGTATAGAGTGGGACTTTAAAAATTCAAAATATTTTTCCTAAGTGAAAAAATGTTCTCTGTAAACTTAGAAGTGGATCCCCTTGTCCTTTTTAATAAATGACGTAATGTGATTCTGAGATGGTATTAGATCTTAAATCAACCCCCATACTTCCAGTCTCAACTATTTACTATGCTGACTATACCACCTGAACTTTTATGCAATTATATTTCTGGCCTGCGCTGTTGCCATATGGGTATCCCAAGGCTAAAATTATCAGCAGACTATAAATACAGTAGTTTCATTTGGGACTGCTACTTCATTATCACTACAAAAAAAAGATATTACAGATCTCCACCTCTCTGAATTCTTCCAGACTCTAAGAGAGCAAATTAAGCACTTCCTCTAATCAGCTGTAAAGCTCTCTGTCTTTAACAGCCATTGTAAGTAATTTCTAGCCAGCATTTCTGATCTCATTTCCTAATAGCAGCTGGCAAATACAAAACTGAGAAGCATGTTTTTTCCCTCTGCTAAGATTAGCCAGCAAGCAACTCATGAACCTTCCAGATGTTTTATTTATTTTTGTTAACAAGAAACTTACTGCCTGGTGAGCTGTTTTGCGCCATCTCACCACAAAGGACAGAGCACTGATCCAGCAGCTAAGGGTCCTGATGTAGACTTGAAGAAAGCTGACCGAGAGGAACATGCTCATTTGCCCACCCCCATATCTCAGCAGAATTTTTTTAAAAGTGCTTTATATCATACTTGAGAAATGACAGAGCTTTTCCACCACAAAGCCCCTTAGAAAGGCAGGCAGACATTTATTAAAATTCCTGTCCTTGGAGAACCGCTACATTTGCCCATCCCCTGAGCACTGAGAGGAAGAAGCAGTATTCAGTCATACCCCCTGCTGCTCTGGCTCTGGAGAGGTGCTTGCAAGTGGCAGGGAGGGATCCTCAAAAGCTCTCTACATCTCATTTTGATGACATACTAGATTTTTTTCTTTTTGACAGTTACTTTTTGGGTTCCTTCAGTAGACTAATTTGATATTGTATGGACACTTGGACATCAGATCAGTCATTACTGTCATGTCAGACCACAGCTTAAACATTGCTGTGGAGAAAAAGCAAGTGAAAGAAAGTAGTATGGTACACCAAACCATTCGTTTGTTCAGAGAAAGCCTTCAACTATGGGCCGTCAATACATCCATTAATCTTTTCCATTCCATTACAGGTATATGGGGCAATGTTACAGATGAATGAACCCTTCAATAAATAAATTTTTTCTATCATGACAGTAGTGTCCTAGTAATTCCCTTGTATTGTGGTTTTTAAAAGCACCAAGAGAAGCACTGTTAACTGCACTAACTCTATCAGAAGAATAACCTTTAAAGAACCAGTTGTTCACAAATGAATTTTCAGTTACAGCTTGGTAACATAGCTATAATTAAATTACTGGCAAGATGCCAACAGCAGATACCGCTAGAAAAAAGGTTTCTCAGAGAATTACCTTTCTTTTGATACATACTCAACTACTGTAGAGGGAATACTGATGGGGGGAAAAGTGACACACATTTAAGTTTTACATAGCTATCACTCGTGCCCAGCAAAAAAGAAATACAAAATGCTATCATGAAATGTATGGGCATGAGGAGAAAGTTTACACTTGTTCACTTTAACAGTTGTGTTACCCACATAGATAGCAGAATATAAGAAGAGATTATTTACAAATTACTATTTTCAGCCTTTAGCAAATGTCCTCTGCTTTGTACCGGAACATATTGCCTCCAATGACATCTTATAAGCAGGTTAGAAACAATAATAAAAACCAAAAGGAAATCATAATATTATAATAATTTACAATTATGGTTAGTACACATGTTTTTCAATGATCAGCACTGTCCAAAACAACTGATGGATAAATAAAAATGCTTGTAATTTGTAGTTCTTACTAGTAGGAAGAGGGGTCTGCAATCGGTTAAGATGATCCTCAATGTCTGGAAAAACCACAGGTATCCAATTGACATGGGAACCATCTGTGGTGTTTGCTTGTTCACTTTCACTTCCAGGCGGAGTGCCAGGTGCCTGCGGCTCCTTGGTTGCTTTCTCTCGGTTACCATCATCCACGGACTCTGTGACAGCCATGTGATGATGGCATGATCAGCTTTAAAAGTGAGTGCTCACAAAACCACCACCTACATTATTTCCCTCTGTCCTGTACCACAGCAAGCCAGAAAGCACGACCATCTTCCTCATTCAAAGCACAGAAGGAGAGAAGACACGAAGGCCTCCCCTTCTTCTCCCACACTGTCACTGGCTTCTGAGAGACCCCTGAGCACCACATACACGGTCACCATATTGGAGGGAGCCGTTGGCTACATATACAGATCCCAGTGACAGATGGAGAGGGAAAACCTTCAGAAGAAGAGACCACAGCAGCAACAACTTGACCCTGTAACTCAGGAGTGAGCAGCCATACAGCAGCCAGTTCTGTGGCAATCCTGCCTGCCAATTTGCCGGTGAGAAGGAGTAGGGAATTGAAGGCAGAATTTATGGGACATAATTCTTCTATGGTTGCCCTGCCTTCACCACCAGGATAGCACTCCCTGGTGATGGTGCTGCTGCTGAGTCACAGGAGCAAGCCATCTGGTTAACCCAGCAGAGCACCTCCACCACACCAATCACGATGCCCAAGCGTATCAAGCCTGATCCCACTGATGCGCAAACAAGGAAGATTCAGAATCACCAAAGTGCATGTCTTGAAGAACGGTCAGGAGGCCACCCAGAAACATGCTTCAGCAAAGGACAAAAACCATCAAGTGTGTCAGCAAGGAGTCCCTTATGCCTTGTCCAGAAGGTAGGTCCATCAGCAGCACAGATCCCACCCTAGATTTTTGCTCTGCAAATCAACACCAAGTATGCAGACCCCCAGGATGAGAAAGATAGGGAAAGCAGTCAATTTCAGAAGAAATAATGCCTCTTTTTGCACTAGGCATGAAAAATGGGTATGATCCATTATTCTTACTGGTACCCGTCAGAGGAGAGTCATCACCAGTTTTGCTCGTACTTGTTGTGGTCCTGTAGAGGACCTCATCTCCAGGGGCGTCTGTGGGATGTGTGATACCTTCAATGCCCTTTCCTGGTTCATTATCTGAAGGCAGAGGTGGCTGAGTTGGGTCTTCATGGGGGGCACCGTCAAGAGAGGCAACAGCTGTTACAATGATTTAATCAGCTGTGAATTCCATGTGTGTGCTGCATGCCCTTCCCATTCCCACCACGTTCCAGTCTCCCATTCACTTTATACCACTGCTACCCTTTTTTCACCACAAAAAGGGAAGAGAAGGGAGACCTTCTGTCCTCCTGTACATCATCGCTGCTCTCTCAATGTATTTATCAGATATTTTCATTTGCTATTCTCATCCACTTTTTCACTTCATCCAAAAGATTCCCAAGGCCGGTGGACACAGGGAAAGGACATAGAGATCACAGTCAGGAGAATTCCCTGACCTGTGCTCAGGCTGACCACAGATCCTCAGCTCCAGGGACACTGTCAAGTGCTGCTACGGTGTGTTTTATATTACAGGTATCAGTACTGACAGTGAAGAACCCTTTAAACAGGCATTGATTCTCCTTTGTTGCTCAAGACTCTGTGAGTGGTGACAAGTTACAGAAAATGCTTGTTACTTATTGTTCTGTTAATGGTAGTCATAAAAACAGGTTTCCTCCTATAATCAGCTTCAAATTTTGGCACTGCTGACATATTCTACCTATTAGAATTACTTTGTGGTGTGGTGTTTACTGAACCCACCGCCCACACTGTTGTTCTCTTCCTTATGTATAACATAGCCTTTATAATTTTTATTGTAATTGTATCAGAAAGAATAAAAGGAAACAGGCTTTTCTATTTATTTTCATTGTCATCAGCTTTCCAGCTTCATAACCTAAGCTGTCCTGCTTTTTCAGAATACCTGGCTAATGCTGTATAATGGCAGGAGCAATGGGACAGAAGAGATACCATCAGAGGAACACACACAACCACAAGAGAAATTTAGTTGTCACAAAATCAGAAATAGGTTCTGAACATTGCCTGTTTAAGAAAGGACTAAAGTTATCTTTCCTTTTATTTTGGTAATAAGTCTTGTGTTTCTCACATTGTGTTTTTAGGGCTTTATTCTGGTGGTATGAATAGTACGTTATACATGACTGCACCACAACGATGTGTCATGCCAGTTTTGTAAATTCCTTTCTCTCATCATTCTACAAACCAGCGGGACAAAATATTTCTACAAAATCTATGAAAAGAACTCTCTTTCCCCATGTGAATATTCACAAATTAAAAGCATTCACCTGTTGATGTACTAATATACATAAGTATGAATTCAAGCTCATGCTAAGGACAGCTTGGCAATACCAAATCATATAACTTATGTAATGAGCCAGACACAATTCCACAGTCATGCACCACTAAGGACCAGGAAGCAATAAAAGTGGTGTTGGTAAGTAAAAATTAAATGTTTTATACAGAGCTAAAATGGAAAACTTCTATCTCGCCACCATCCAGGCAGAGCACGGAGAAAATTAATCACTCTATAATTTATATCATTGTCATAAAGAGATCAGTAAGTTACTCCTCTCTATAAGTTCCTGCAATGTCTTTCCATGACAGGCTATGTGAGACACAGAAGTGATGAAATATACATAATTGACATTACTACTAGTACCTGTAGTGGAAGATGCTTTTTCATGATTATTCTCTCTAGAAGGAATAATTCTATCCATTATAGCGGGTTGTGTGGCATAATCCTCTCCCTCGTCCCAACCTGGATACACCAATGGGTCTTGCGCTGAGTCGTTCTGTTTGGCCCCATGGCTGGAGGCCACAGCTGTTATGATGATGGTGAAGCAATTATGAACTCAGTATATAAAGATCCATTTCTCATATTATTCTCCTCTTCGGTTCTTGTCTCTATGACAGGCCTTGCTCACATGTCTACTACATTTAATGGTAAAGAGAAGTAAAGCAGATTTGCTTCTCATTCTGGTTTATGTTTAGAAAGGCTGCCTACTGTCACCAATAGGACAGATGCCTTCCTCAGACAGAGCATATGTTTTTCAAAATCAAGACATCTCATTTTCCAAAAGTATTTCCCCAAATCATGCTGTTGGCTTTGTATTGGTTGAATATCAAACTAATATCCACTGATGGAGAATTAAGAACAGCAAAGGCAAACATAACTGCAAGAATATGACCCATCAGTAAGATTTTAATCACAGAATTTGAGTATGTTGACTACATCCATGTTTTTCCCCTCAAAATGTCACTGTTTTATACGTTGCAGCATCTCCAGGAAAATAGACAAGGAAGTCTGACAGAGGGGAAAGCTAGCACATGCTGCAGATTTGTGAATGGTGCACACAATAAATAAGACAGCATTCAGTTATTTAGAAAAATAGGATATTGTCCATATCAAGCAATCTGTAGCTTTAATAAACCAGTCACAGCACAGGAGTACTCAAATCTTATAAGCAGCATAACCCTCCTTAGCTCCCTCAACTCAATCACAAAACAACAAGAAAATTGCCCCAGCATGTTAAAATTTCAATAACAACTAGGCCAAAATTTATTGTTATAGTAGTATAGTATAGTATTTATATATATCAGTAATACATTATTCTGCATTGCTAAATTTTTAAAGGATGTTGATGAAACACCTGGGGTTGATATCTTACAGGAACGTGGGCTTTGAGACTGCTGAAGCAGTGAGCTACACAAAACTTTTGCTAATAAGATTACATTTAGATGAAGGAATATACACACATTATACAGTATCTCAAACAATGTTTTATGATATGCTTGTCTTCAGTGGCCTGTGTTTGATAATCTACAAGAGCAAATGATGACTGCATAAAATTCACTGTTGGCAGTGCTTAGTACAGAACATCAGTCATTAACCGGTAAACTTAGTATACTCTCATGAACAGATACTAACATAAGTCAATTTTCAGTTACTAGCTTTATAGTATAATTTGATCTTTTACGTTTCAATTGCTTTGACTGAAGGAAAAGATTAGCCTCTCTTTTATTCTACTCTATGCTTTCTTTGTTTTCTTCCCTTCATCACCAGTATCATCTTGCCATAGTTCAAAAGCGGGGCAAGTAGATATTTTAGATAAAAAAATTTTAATATAATTGCCATATTAACAAAAACTGAAAAAAATCCCCAGTCCAATAACAACTTGCAATAGGGGAGTCAACACAGCTTCCAAACATGTGAAAGATACAACAGACATTACTATTTTTCCATGAAAACATTCACTGTTTCCTATAGATATAACCCTGGTAGGTAGCCTGTTAAAACCTTGCATCTGTGTGAAATAGAACACAAAACATAGGAGACAGTTAAGGAATTAATCTACTATAAGTCTTGACGCACAATCCAAATAGGAGAGAAAAAAACCCCCCAGGAACAGATCTGAAGAATAGAATAATTTTTTAAAAACCTGTAATATAACGTCAGAATCACTCAGGTTTATTCACATAACCTCTGTTATGGCCTCAGAATGCAAAATTATTACTAAAAACATCCTAAAACTGAACTTTTAGTAAACCCTAATAATTTACTAAAATGTGACCTGTAATATTACCTGTATAAGAAGATTCCTTTTCAGTATCATTTTCACCTGCAACAGTAAATTCATGTTGTTCAGTACTCCCAGTGGTATTTCGAGGATTTTGTTCTTGACTGATCCATCCAGAATGAACACTGTGTAATAGTGGATGTTGGGTTGGTCCTTGGCGCTTTTCATTTTCACTTGTAACTAGTGCTGATAAGATGATGATTGAATCAATAATGATAAAAATACCCAACACCAGTCATATTATTCTCATCTTCATGGTTACACAACAAGGGTGCTTAGCTTTTGTGTTTTGGTTTTTGTCTTTTCATTGTTGCATTTGATGTGAAATGAAAGAGGAGAGAAAAGTCCTCTGGAAACCCTATCACACAAAAGCATCACCAGGATTGGAAGAGGATTTAAGTGTGCTAGAAAGTATCCCAATGACCAACAGCAGAGAAAAGCTATACAAGAAGCAGTGGAAGAACACATAGAACCAACAGCTTGCATTTCTAGTTCATATTTATCAATACTAACTTAACTGTTGAGCCTGTGTATTCTGAGTATTTAAAAATGAAAAAGATGATGAACTTTCTCTTTTGAGATAATATCTCAATTACACTATTACAAGGCTGGCTCCAAGGAAATTGTCATTTCTTCTGGGACTGGCTGAATGAAATAAGTAGTTTCATATATCCGAAGTTGAAAAGCATACTTGTTTTGAACTCAGTAATAATTAAAGCTCTCACAAAAAAATAAATTAACTGCTCACTTTTTAATTTGCTGTTGTTTACATAGCAGAAGATTAAACCACCTGAAGAAAATCACCTGAAGTACCACTACCATTAGAGAGTTTCTAATGAACATAGATTATCTTGTAAAAAAAAGTTAAAATTGACTGATGTATGAATACAACTGATCTAACAATACTTCAGAACCAAAAGAAAGTTATCACAAATGTTATTTCTGGGTGAATGCATCACCTGTTCTGATGCCGATTATATAAAGTTTCACTGTTCAAAACAATCTCGGAACCAGAAAGACAAGTGTCTAGCTATTGGAAGCAGATCACATATAATCCAAAGAACTACTACAGGATGTAGAAAATGCTTATTTTTACAGAGGGATAAGAAGGCTTTCCACAAGTCCCAGTGAAATGTATTTCTTTTCAGTACCATCTGATTTTAGGCAGCTACAACGCTAGCCCCAATCCAGCTGTATATAGCTATGCCTCCAGCTATTCAGTTTTGCAACTCTCCTTAACAGGGTAAAGCTGTCCATTACAGCCAAACCATCCTAAAAACAAAGCTCATATCCAGATATGCTTTCCAAAAAATTCTAACTTTTCAGGTACACAACAAAAACAGCTGGAGAATGCCCTCTGTAAGCCTTTGCCTACAGAGGTTTTTAGACTTAAAGAACATGAGTACACTTTCAGTATCTCTAGTTGGCTACTGGCACTAACACTGGTAGCAAAATGTTCACAGTCATCTAGAGGTAGTATATTATCCTTTGTAGCACAGTTTCATGTATTTGAATCACTAGCTGCATTTTTTTTTGTCTTTTGTCTTCAGATTTTACAACAAAAGTTTTGAATTGGAAGAAAGGGAATTATTCTTCTCACCAAGGTGGGTCACCAGATGTCACAGCCTGCTCAGTTTTATTACACTACTGGCAGTGCAGATCTAAAAATCCCAGAGACGTGAGGAAAAGTGGCAAGTAGTGAAGACTACATGCAAAAGATAGACTTGGAGTGACAAATGAGTGTTATAGATACCACCTCTGAGGACTCTAGTACAAGTAATATAAAGGCATTATACTGAACTGAGGCTAAGGGTATGGAAATTACAACCAGCTGCACCATAACAGCGTTATACTTCACTGAATTATGTCACATAACTGAATATTATCTGAAATGCTTAATTGCTTTACCCCTGCCAGCAGAGCTAGGATACTGCTCCTCTTCATCTGTATAGGCGGAGTTCCAATGATCTTGTGTGGAGATTTCCAGAAGTGTTTCGTGTTGCGAGTCCACAGCTGTTAGGACAATGGAGGATTCAACGCTGACCATGCTCTACATCTACCCCTATTACTCTACTGTTATTGTGTGCCACGAAGGTGATGGAAAATGGAAATTCATGCATAGTTTAACTGTAGTCTCTTTACTCTTCTTATCAAACCCCTTTACAGTCGTTCTTTTCTTTGCGTTGGACACATGCAAAGTTTCCCAAGAAGAATGGGGAAAACAAGCAGTAGAAGAATAACGTGTAGGAGAAGTAGTGCAAAACCACTGCAGCTGTTATAGACATTTAAACTCGACTTTGAAGAATAATGCTGGGCCTAAAGAATATGGCAGATGTCTGAATACATGTGAAGCATACTTTCTAAGTACTCAAGAAGTAATCAGATTCATGCAGAATATTCACCACGGAGCTCAAATGCTATGGGGTCAGCAAAAAACCGATAGAACCTTGACAGCCACCAGTAAGCCAATGTTAGTCAAGAAAGTTATAATACAACTGAACAGCTAAAATAAAACTTCCACAAGAGTCTATGATCAGAGATTGTATACATTTTCACCCATGGAGCATGCAGATAGCACTAGGTCATAGAAGGTAGCTGAAATGCAATATGCCATGTAGAATAAGTCACCAATGCAGAGTCTCAAAGATACACCAGAACTACCCAAAGAACACAAGAAATACCCAAAACTTAGGCAAAAGAATAAAAAATCCCAAAGCAAGATGACCTGCTCATTTTGTATTTTCTTGTAAAAATCAAGATCACTGCTGAAAAAAACCAAATACTCCACTATCTTCAGAAAAAAAAAAACAAAAACCAAACATAAAATGCTTATAGAGAGTGATTTATAAACACAATTGAGTAATGCACAGACAAAAGACAGATTAAGATGTGCTCAAATTAAATTAAATTAGTTTACATAAAGGGAACAGATTATTATCTTCATACAAATAAGAGCATTAGAGTATAGTCATTAATGGCAACATCTATACTGAAGACAAAAAAACAGGGCTGGGGCCATTCCCTGGTTATAAGACCAAGTAGCAGACTGTGTGCTTCTGTGACACACAGCATTTGGTTTTGATCCTCGTATGTGGTGGTTTTCTGGTTTTGACACAAAATGTTTTTAGGTATGGATGACTTTTTTTAGTTAAAAAAGCTATCAGACTATCACTGTGGGACTATGCATATCAGGAAAATAAGGCTATACATTAAAATATCTGAGTTGTGGTATTGGATCATGCCTAAACACCTGAGGTCACAAAACAAATGAGATGATGTTAGAAGTGTGCATGGCAAGAGTGTAGAAGGTAGCAAACATGTCAGCAAAAGCTGACACTTCTCAATGAAAAGGGCACTTGGGGTTTGGCCTCCCAAACTGTGCCTGAACATCTTCTTCCACAGACAGGAATCTACTGTTTTATAGACATAAATTATAAATAACATGAACTGGAATTCCATTAACACTGTCTTCCCCAAAAAATAAAAAAAAATAGAAAAAATATAAACTTTTTTTTTTCCTTGGAAAATTGTGAGAGAATGCACACATTCAAATAATCATGAAACCGAGAAGTTAGTTTTCAGTAGTGATAGAAGAGGTATCCATTCTATTGATATGGAACTCATATGATTTTTCCAATCACAAAATACACATTTCTGAAGGAACAGCTGATGAGAAGAGCATCCAATTTTCACCCAATATATGTGTGGCAAAGAAGGAGGAACATCAGATAGGACAGGAAAAAGAAGAAAAAAACCATCCAAATAGAAAGGAAGTTCCTTACTAGTACTTGGAGCATACTCGTCCTTGGCCACACTCCTGTCCCAGCCTGGAAACACTGTTGGGTAAATCGTCTCCTCTGAAGAGTCCTCGTCATCTGAACCATTGCCACTTGAGGTTACATCTGCTGTGATGATGTTAAATCTGACATGAAGACCTAACCCACAAGGTCTTCTGCTGACATCAGTTATGCTTTCCTGTCTCCCCTACATGCAGCCTTACAATCACAGAGGAGAATGTACAGCACCGTGCTTCCCACGGTCCATAGCTCCTCCTGGTTCTTCCACCCACAAGGGATTCACCACTCTGCCATGGCCCTGCTAAATGCCCCAACATGGCTCTTAGCTACATTTCAGTGCCTTACGCATACAAAAAGCATTCAAAGCTCCTAGAAGAATGCACACCATAGAAAATGAAACCCCTCAAGCAAGCCAGTTGATATTTCAACCTATCTCTCTACTATGAAAGTCATTCATCAATAAAGTGAGAAGCAGAGTTTGCAAGAAGAGCTGCACTTCAAGTCATACGCATATTCGGTAAAAGAAAGTAAAATCTACTTCAAAATGTTTCTCTGGAAATATTTTTATTCTGATAATTCCTCACAAGCAACATTTTTATCAACATTTAGACCATCTTACTTCTGTATCTTGAAGATGAAAAAAAGATATCATGTACTCTTTTTCATTCAGAAAAAAATCTTTAAATAATTAATTTAGAAAAATACTTTGAAGACTAACATCAAATACACTAGTTTTGATCAATTTTTGTGCAATATATGAAAGCATTGGAAAATACAAGACCTAGCACGTTCTGATGATCCAACAGGATGTTTTACTTACCTGTAAACTGCAAAGTGTACGAAGTGTATGGACTTAAACTCAGAACTGCATTTTTTCAAGGTATAGCTATTTTGGCATCAAAACCTCACAGATTTTGCCTTTCTGAAAAGCTGTCCTTGTCTGAATAAATATTGTCTCTTCTCACAGTCACCAATTGTTCCCTAAACTTAACACTACTAGTACTACTCTGAGACTGGTATCAGAAAATGGGAAACCTGGACATTCAAAATCTGACCTCTGAGCAACAGGGCATCAAAACCCAGGTGGTCTCAGAATTGGAGCTTTGGGATGGAACTGTGAACAAAATGATAATGCCAAAAAAATTGTTTAAAAAGAAAATAACTGTATAACTAAATAATTGCCATCTGACTTGCTGTAATCACAGCAAAATTCTCACCGCTACCTGCTTTCCACAACAAGACTTAGGAGCTAATTTTCTTAAGTGATGAATATATTAACGGCTTCCTTCCACATACAAAATACCAATACAGATGCCTTCCTGTCAGAGCAGCCAAAGTATGGACACAAGCCTTTTTTCATTCGTGAGTTTTTTTTTCAGGGAATGCTCCACACCAAATAAAAGGAAAATCCACCAGAGCATAAAAACTTCTACTACATATGGATTAACAACATTAGTCACAGTTACTGTTTGAGTAACTAGCTCTGATAATTTAAGGAAGTAGCTCACTGATGAGCAAGAGAATTTTGTGACATCTGATCCATGACACATCTACAGATGAATCATAACTTGTTAATAACCAAGAGAAAAACTTGTCTCAGCCAGGAGAGAAAGTCAATGGCAAATTGCTGGCAGTGTATTAATCTGGACCATGAACTTTATGAAGAACATCACTAATAATGTCCAAAGCCAGAGCAATAATGAAAGGGGATCATCTGAAGAACAAGGACCTGTGGCAATTGCTCACTTTAAATCCATAGCAAAGAAGTGCTTTGATCAAACTAGACACTGTTTCATCAAACCTGAAGTTTACAAATGGTGTGCAGTATAGATGGAGAGCCAGCTGTTTTGTTTCTCACTTTCATACACTTTCATATTCATGCCAAATAGTTTTCTTTACTTATTTCTTAATTTTCTACTTTCTTGTCTATGGGATTTTTCCTCTGGGAAACTAAATTGTGGCCGGGATATGCCAATGTGGCTGCACTGTTGCACAATGTAAATAGCAGACTTTTGGGGCACGGCTTTATCTTCGTTTTTGTTTGTTCTCCATGTAACTTTCTCCTGTGCTACTGAATATTTGATAACTTCTCATGGAGATGCACAGCTTATACTTAACTTCTGATAGGAGTGCGAAATTATACGTTTGTAATGGAGTAAAATTAAATTAAATAGGTCTGTTTGGCTTTGAAGTGATGTTGCTGAGTAATAGCTTAAGCTATCAGAAAAGCTCAGGCACAGTTCCTTCATATTCTTTTTTCTCCAGAGAATCAGTCTGTCAACCCTAAACCGATAACCAATCTTGCCAAGGCTATCACTTCTGTGATACACATATATCAGTATTGACATAGCTCTATAGGTATTTTGATCTTTTAAAATCTTGAATACCTCTAGTTTCCCCTCTGTAAAATAGTCATGCCCATGAGAGAAAATTGTTAGCAACAGGAAGGGACGTACATATTTAGGATCAATACTTCTATAATCAACAGAAGAACCAAAAGCTTTCCTGCCTAGAAACAATGCACAGGTTTTTGCAATGGATACAAAAACATCAGTACAAGGAAGCACTAAGTCACACATGCATACAAAAGCAAATAAATATGAAGGAAATATCACACCAGAGTCAACCAGACAAACTCCCTTACAGGCAAACCTTTTCACTTGAAACAAGCACCAGAAAATTCTCTACTTGCTTTCAAGGTCTGTGGGAAAATCAACCTGATGTTTCTTTTCTCCATCTACATATTTAAAGGTGCTACTAACCTTCACAGCCTCTGAGACAAGATGCTTGGCTGAATTATTTCTGTCTTTTAGTAAAGATTTTGCTAACTCTCTAAGGCATCCAATCATTCTTACTCTATCCTGTGATTTCTAGATACAGTAACAAGGGCACCATCCCTCCAAGTCACATAGACCATTTGACCAGCTATCAGCAACCAACAAACAATTAAGCAAATTCCTCACTATCACAAGCTTCCATAGCAGGAAAAAATGAGTCAGCAGAAAAATCACTTCTCTATCAGTTCAATCTTTACTACAACACGCCTTTGTAGATCTCCTCTGTATAATTAAAACATTCTCCCTTCAGGTTCGTTTCGCTTTCTGGGGCAAAGATCTTTTATCACTCTAAGCTTAAGAACTAGAGTGAATATGTGTGCAGTTCCACTTTAAAATGTGTAAGATGACCTTAAAAGTTTTCTATTTGCTGTAGCTGCTGTGTACTACATATTTGAAAAATACCTCACAAGCAGTTTTTGCACTCAGTAGAGCTAGGTAAGGACAAAGCAGAGAAAATGCCTACTGTTCTTTTAAGCCCTCAAAGCTTGTCGAGCCACCACAGGCCCCAGTTCTTTCGCATGTGTATTGCCAACAACAAGGACAAAATTAATTTTTACAGTGCACAAATGGCTTGGCAGTTGGAACTGACACTTGAAGCACTGCTTTGGTGAGCAAAACCATGGTTTTATCCTGGATTGCCTACATTCACAACCATAAATGTACTAGAATCACAGACACTTTAATCACAAATTGACAAAAATATCCTTTTTTACCTTGGAAATAAATTGACTTCAAGTGATAATTGGTTGAACTAATTTGTGGTGCCGCATAGAGTAAATAGGTAAAAAAGCAGTGGGAAACACAAAACAAAAATCTTTCTGAACTCACGTATAAGTATTGATGTAAACATACAGTATAAGTTTTTGCTCCCCTTGTCCCAGAGAGCAAAGTTTATTTCTGACTTAATCAGTCTGGAAAGTACTGTCTTTCAATGTCTTTCCAAAATTGGAGATGATGTATACTTCACCACTTACCAGAAAGCCCTGCTGGAAGAAGAAATCAATTTTAATGCAATCTATATTTGATGTAGTTATTACAATATATAAATCTTACTAGTACTCGCAGGATACTGTCCACCATCTTTTTCAGGGGAATCATCAGCTGCTGTCACCAAAGAGATGTCAGGTGATACAGGAGAAACATCATCATCTGTATGGTGATGGATAAATTGTTACTAAGTCATTAGCTGAGCTGCAATTCAGTATTCAGAACTACTTAATTATTCTGTACTACAAGCAGCTTCACTCCTTCATTTATTGGTTCAAGAGAAAAGAAAGATACAGACTAGGTTCTCCATATAATTCAAGCCCAAATAGCCTTATTTTACTAACCTTGTAAGGATATCACCAAACCAGGTTATTTCAAGAGGACTATGTATTACAGTGATAACATTCTGGCAATGATCTGTTCATGTGATTCAAGCTCTGATTGTACCTGTATACCATCTAGAGAGGGATTCTAGAGCAATGAGTTAAGTTATTTGCAATCCCCTCTTTACTGAGATATAATCTGAGATTTAGTCCAAACATCTAAACTGTGCATGTAAGCAGAGTTGAAATACATGGCATACACACTGGGCAATGCCTCTGATCCTAGTTCTTTAGGAAAGAGAAAGTTAGGATTTAGCTTTCATGAAAAACTTACTGCATGAAATGTCCTGAGTATACCACCAGTGAAAAGTCATTTTATTATCCTAATGCTTCTGCTCAATTTTTTTTGTTTTGTTTTAATTTCAGTATTTTTGGAGCATAGTGATGCAAACTACTGGTATTCTTCACTAGTAAGTTACTGGTGATTTGATAAGAAGCCTGTAGTCAGAGGTCACACAGAAAACTTTACTGTGCTTAGAGAATGAATTATATTTCTATCCCTTAGGTTCAATGGAAGCTAGTCTTTCAGACCTCTGATAATTTCAGACACATAAGCAACATAAAAGATGAACTGAAATACATGCCACTTTCACAAGAGAGCAAGATACAGGCAAGGCACTAATTCACTAATTTGCCATTCTGCAGAATGCCCTAAACAAGAGTATGGCATTTGTATCTGCATAATTTGATCTGTATCATGAAAATAGAATTTGGCTTTACCACCTAAAGAAATAAGGTATTAATAACATTTTAATTTGACATTTTTATCTCTCTGTGCATTCTGTAATATCTTGTAGTAAGACATCCTAAAAAAACCCTGTACTTGTACAAAGAGAAATCACTTGTACTGTAAATTCCTCCTTATTACTTAAAGTCAACTAATCCTTTTAGAGAACAGATAAGAATCTGTTATCCTTATCTGTATATACTCATACCCTTAGCCTCACTAACCTCTCTGTGTTCACTGCTAGATATGTTTTTGAGCCTTTAATGAAATAAATATTTTAATAAGAACAAGAGCAAATTCTTAGAACCATTTATTCTTAAAATCCTGGGAAGGTTTATCTGCGAAACTATCCTGATGCATGGCTGCTTTGTACTCCTGTGCATTCAAAAAAATCCTTAGAAATTCAGAATGATTCTGTTTTATTTCGAAGACATGCATTTTCCTTTTACTTGTCCAGGATACAAATTAGAGATGGTGCTTCTCATTCCCTCATGATATCATTTAACTAGCAAGGTAATCCTTCACTCAGTTATTGTAAAGTGGATAGAGTGGTAACCTACTATACTTACCAGAATCTTTTCTAGGACTTTCTTTTTCACCCCCTCCAGAAGAATGATCTGGCAGCTGTGAGACTGGAGTAGCACTTCCATAATATGAGGGGCTGGATCTCCTGATGGAGGTATTCATGGGAGTTGTGTCATGTGTTGATCCACTACCTACATTTTCATCATCCACACCGGAGGTTGAGGACTCTCCACTATGACGCGTGCCATCTGGATTATAACGTGAGCCATCTGCATTGTCAATGACTGTTGGAAAGAGGAAATTAAGCAGCTGACAATATTAAGGAGCTACATAGCTATATTTCAGTAATGCCAAACAGTTTAAGTCCTATAACAAAAAAAATAAAGAGAAACAGTTGTGGATTAACATCAGCTCATCTATTTCTGCCATCTTATTTAGTTGTCTAGATCATACATCATAAACTATGTCTAATGTATCTATGCTAATGTACACATTTGTCAAACATATAGGGCCTACTCTGCATCAAATATTTTGATATTTCAGTTAGGCAGTTTGATTTTGGACATAAAATCTTAGCATCTGTAAAAGTCAATCAGAATTTTAGAACTGAGACAAATAATTTATTCTGAGAGTTTTCTTCCACTTCCAGCTGCTTTTCTAACCAGCAGTTCAAATGGGTTGTAGAAAGGTTGCTGACCTAAGCAAAGTCCTGTATGTCAAAGAAACATTAGCAGCTCTGAGGTGCAAAAAAATGTCAGATACCTATATAAGAGATGTTTGGTAGCACCTTGACACAAACCAAGCTCCACAGAATTTAGGGGAAGACAAGCGACTAATGGTTTTAATTGCTGCCAAACATCTCTCGCCTTCTTTTTCTTATGTTCATCTTGATTTTCAATATTAGCAATTGTTTATGTAAAAAAATAATCAGATCCTGAAAATGAAACAAGTGGCAGGTCTTTCTGATCAATACAGTACCTATTTCACCCTGATTGTTGAGGAAAGAAGTATCTAGTCTGTCAATTGGCTCACACGCTTTGTCCCTTGTTTCTGTAAAAGAAGGAAAAAAAAATTGAGAAAATTGAGAAAAAAGTCCCGTGTATACCCATATTAATTGTACATAAACACAAAATGTCAGCTTCAAATGCGGATAATTGAAAACAAATTTCCAAATCAAGCGTTATTCACTGATCTACCTATGTTCTGACAGCTAGCGACTAGATTCTCCATTACCATAGCCATTCCAGAAAATGGTTGCAATCAACATCAGTTAAAACAGGCTTATGACCCAGTTTCAATGCAGATAGCCCCACTGTCACAGCAGCAGTGGTAGCTCTGATATTATGACAATGCAGAGATTATTTTTTAATAACAGGACCACCAAAATCAAAATCCAAAAATGTCGCTGTCATTCAGATAATCAATTTTGTCTACTGCTTTCTGTAAGATCTGTTTCCACTGTGAATGTAATAATCTACTGAAATTCAAGACAGTTGAAGTTAGTCCAGATTTTGTCTTCAAATATTGTGTTCAGCATCTGTCACAAGATTATCTACATTTTCCCAATAATTTAGTAAAATATTTCCAACTATTAAAAAGTTCAGAACCTTGAAGAAAGTGGTCTGCTTCTGACCCACATCACTATCTAACTGCCTAATGTCTGCATGGAGATTTGCCCGAGAGGAAATACTGGATGAACCTGCAAACAGCAGAGCAGCAGGAACCTGCAACCAGCAGAGCAGCAGCCACGTCCATGGGGCTGGGATGGCCACCCCAGGCCTTGGAGCTGCTGCATCCCTTAACACAAATAACTTTTGTTTGCTATAGAAGCTCATGTGTGCATGAACAGAAGACCTGAGCACCATTGCTTGAAACAGTCATGTCTTTTAGATTCACTGCTGAAGTGGTTCACTGCACTAAACCATTATAATGAATGTTCTGAAGCTACTAAATTAGTACCAAGGGCAGAAAATGGTTTAGTTCAAAACACACTCATGATAAAATGGGTCAAATTCATTGCTGGTATTATAGATATACTATATATATATATATG